ACTGCCAATTAGGCGCCTCGGGAAATGCGGTAATTCCGCCATTGGGAACTCTTCCGAGATGCCTTGAATTTTGATATTGTTCTTTCGCCACAAGTCTTCTATGGCGGTGAAGCGGTGCTCAGCCTGCTCATTGTGTCGCTGGAGCCCCCTGAGAGCCTCCTGCAGTGTGGCTATCTGTGTTGGGCTTGGTCGCCGGTCGCGGCCTCCACTACCGTTAGTCTGCCTGTGAGGCCTTGCAAGTGAGAGCGTAGAAGCGCTACAATCGTCTGGATACTCTTCTGGAGGTCTGCCAGAAGCGCCTTCAGCACCGTGGCAGTCACAGGTGCATTGTCTTGTTCCGTGTGCCTTAGTGCCGGTTTTGGGTTTGCAAGCTGCATCTCTGTGTCTTCGTCCGGGGACATGTCATCAGAGAGGTTGGAGTACGTTTCCTGGTATTCGGCCATCTTGGGCCTTACCGCTCCATGTGCCTGCCGTAGCAAGTCTCCAATATCTAAGCCCGTCCGTGGCTTTTCGGGTTTCATCTTCTTGGATTTGCGTCCCAAGATGTTGCCCCTGTCTCGTGGGGGTTTGCCCGATGCTGAATTTCTCAGTTTTTTGCATTTTTAACACCCAAACAAATATGAATGTTACCTTTGGCCAGTGTTTGTGACTAAGTGGCTACTAAAAAAGACTGGGCATACCCCATATTGAATACCCTGGGTTGTCTACTTTTCAAAAATATATTTGATGGGGGTAAATTACATTGACCAGCTTCACAAATGTCCCAAATAGGACATGGGTGCATGATGACCACCTGTGAAAATTCCAAGTTGGAAAACTGCAATGCGGACCCTCCAAATAAGGTATTTTAGCTCCCAGAGAACCCGACACACCTATGTATCACTGTACTCGGGAGATGTTGCTGAACACATATTGGGGTGTTCTTTCACAGTAACCCTTAAAGTTCTCAGTACATGTAATCTTAAATTGCCATGTGTATCAAAAAAAAATCACCAATTATTGTTTTTATTTTTAAATGTGGGATTGATTGGTGGTAAAATGGTTGCATGAAAAGAGTCAAAATACCCCGAGTTTAATACCTTAGGTTGTCTTCTTTTAAAAAATATATACATGTGAAGGGATTCCTGACAGAAATCAGTGTTACAAGGTAACATGCGTTAATTTTGAAAAAGAAAATGGTTTGGAAATAGCAAAGTGCTACTTGTACTTATAGCCCTATAACCTTCTAAAAGCTAAGCACATGTTAACATTGGGTATTTCTAAACTAAGGACAACTAAGGACAAAATTTTGAAACTATGTAGCCTTTTTTAGATGCGTAACAGATTTTGGGGGTCAAAGTTCGGAAAAGTGTGTGTTTTTACATTTTTTTCAGCATATTTTATAATTGTTTTATAGCAAATTATATGATGTGATGAAAATAATAATATCTTTAGAAAGACCATTTAATGGCAAGAAAAACAGTATATAATATGTGTGGGTACAGTAAATGAGTAAGAGGAAAATTACAGCTAAACACAAACACCGCAGAAATGTAAAAACAGCCCTGGTCCCAAACGGTAAGAAAATTGAAAAGCGGTCTAGTCACTAAGGGGTTAAAGTCATAATGTGCAAAAAACAAAACAAAGTGCACTGCATTCATGAAGTGCACCTGATTTGTACATTGGTTTGCAAAATGCAACTATTTTTTAAAGTGTCCTTAATATATAAAGTGTCCATTAATTTATAAAGAGCACACGGATTAAAAAGTGCTGTTTATATAAAGTGTATGTAAGTTTTTAAAAAGTGCTGTTCATAGTGAAACTGCAAGTCATTGTATAAAAGTGCATAACTAATTATAAAGTGCAAATATATGCATACAACTATTAAAGAGTGTACTCATTGTGAAATAGTGAAAACAAAAAATGACTATATACTCAATAGCAGAAAAAAGGACAAAAAGGGCAAGACTATAAAATGCAGTCCAAAATAATATATATATATATATATATATATATATACCCTGTTCCAAATTATTATGCAAATTATATTTTTCCTCATTTACCTAAATAATTGATGTAAATAACAGTCAGCATAATTCTCATGTTATCAACTATTAAGAGTACAATTCAAATTTTATTGAACAAACATCCTAATGATAACAGTATTTTTTTTAAACATAAAAAACTTACAATGCACTGTTCCAAATTATTACGCACAATAAGTTTCAAAACACTTTATAGGTTGTAAAGAACTGAAAATTGTCATTTGTTGTGTTTGCAGCATATTTACTGAAATAAAAAGCTATTTCAATCAAACTTATAACAATATTTTAACTTTTTAAACATTTTAACAGGTCATGTTACATTTTAACATAGGACCCCTTAAAAGGACCCCCTTTAAAGCAGCTTCACAAGTCTTGCATCCATTGAACTTGTGAGTTTTTGGACAGTTTCTGCTTGAATTTGTTTGCAAGATGTCAGAATAGCCTCCCAGAGCTGTTGTTTGGATGTAAACTGCCTCCCACCCTCATAGATCTTTTGCTTGAGGATGCTCCAAAGGTTCTCAATAGGATTGAGGTCAGGGGAGGATGGAGGCCACACCATGACTTTCTCTCCTTTTATCCCCATAGCAGCCATTGATGCAGAGGTATTCTTTGCAGCATGAGATGGTGCATTGTCATGCATGAAGATGATTTTATTACGGAAAGCATAGTTTTTCCTTCTGTACCAGGGAAGAAAGTGGTCAGTCAGAAACTCCACATACTTTTCAGAGGTCATCTTTACTCCTTTGGGGACCCTAAAGGGGCAGACCAGCTCTCTTCCCATGATTCTGGCCCAAAACATGACTCCACCACCACCTTGCTGACGTCGAAGCCTTGTTGGAACAGGGTGGCCGTCCACCAACCATCCACTACTCCATCCATCTGGACCATCCAGGGTTGCATGGCACTCATAAGAACAGGACTGTTTGAAGATTAGTCTTCGTGTATTATTCTGCCCAATGCAGCTGTTTCTGCTTGTGAGCATTGGTTAGTGGTGGATGAATAGGTTTATGCACAGTTGCAACACTATGGAGGACTCTACACCTTGATGTCCACGGGACTCCAGATGCACCAGCAGCTTCAAATATATGTTTGCTGATATGTAATGGTATTTTAGCAGCTGCTCTCTTGATCCGATGCATGGATCTGGCAGAAATCTTCCTCAATGTGCCTTTATCTGCACAATCCCGTCTGTGCTGTGAATCAGCCACAAATCTTTTAATAATGCGATGATCATGCTTAAGTTTTCGTGAAATATCTAATGTTTCCATACCTCGTCCAAGGCATTGAACTATTTCACTCTTTTCGGCAGCAAAGAGATCCTTTTTCTTCCCCATATTGCATGAAAATGGTGCTCTGCTTAATAATGTGGAACACCCTCCTTTAGTAGTTTTTCCTTAAATTGGGCTCACCTGGCAAACTAATTATCACAGGCATCCGAGATTGTTTTCAGTGATCAAAAGAGCCCTGAGACACAATGCCATCCATGAGTTAAACTGAAAAACAAAATATTTCATCTTTGTGACACTTAAATAGAATTTGCATAATAATTTGGAACGGGGTGTATATTTATATATATATATATATATATATATATCAAAATCAAGTTGCTAGGCACACCTCCTGTAACTGGACTTTCAGAAAAATATTATCCTGCCTAGGTGCATCCCGCGTAGAATATATAACAAAATAGATAAAGGGAGCACACTAGGACTTCATTAGGAAAAAACAAGCTTTTTTTTATTAAATGCTTACCAAAGCATAATCTGTGCAAAAAAAATCGACGTTTCGACCCACCTGGGGTCTTTATCAAGATCACAGTGACATGATTATTCAAACCAAATATATACAAATACAGTAGTGAAAGCTTACCAATGAAGCAATCGAGCAGCCGACCGGCAGAAGAACCCGGAAGTGGTAACACCACGTGAGCGTGAGACGTAAGTGACGTGGTTGCTAAGCAACCAAACAAACTAAAAACGATAGATACATAGTGTGCAAGTCTATTTAACTATCTATCCAGGGATGGAGGAACTGATTATGATAGCCGAAACTGTGGAGATACCTCTAACGTGAACCAGTGAACCTGCAGATAAAAAAATACCTGCATGGTGAGAAGCAGTGGTGAATGTGTACTCCACAGGAGCGGCTAAACATAAACAAAGCAAAAATAAAAAATAAATAAATAATGAATAAATAAATAAATAGTAAAACTAATACCTCAAAAATAAAAAATAATAATAAATAAAAAAAAAATAGAAAATGAAAAATAGAAAATAAAATATAAAGTGGGAAAATAATAAATAATAAAGAATAAAAAATAAACATAATGAAAAAAAATCAATAAATATAAAAATAAAAATAAAAATAAATATGAAAATAAAAATAAAAATAAAAATAAAAAATCATCAATATAAAACAAAAATACACACTAAGACACAAGCCAGAGATACTGAAACAAAATATGAGAGCATAACAAATGGGTTATCAATACGCTCTAAACTAACGAGATACTAAACAATAATCATCTAACTGGACGAATTTTATAACCTCATAACTTGCAAGATTAAGCCTATCCAAACAGGAGAAGGACAGACAAGATCACCGTAGGATGAAAAGAGGACCAGAGGTGGCACAAAGCACAGAGTGGACAAAGCAGAGCTTATAAAAACATAGAAAGAACCAAATTTTCATTCAGTCCCTTTGGAGTCACAGTGTCCAAATAGTATATCCAGTAAGCTTCACGCTGTAGAAGCATTCTGGATCTGTCTCCCCCTCGTGGCAACATAGGAACATGGTCGATGGCTATGAAACGAAGCGTAGGTAGCGAATGCTGTGCAGACAAAAAATGTGCCTAGCAACTTGATTTTGATATATGTAAAGCGTTGGCGTAACGCTTCACTAGTGCACCCCCATTTGATATAACTAAGGTTTATTACCTAAATAGTGATTTTTTGCAGTGATCAGGAATTTTTTAAGATGGAGGATTTTTTGGACCGAGCCGGAGCCTTAATGGAGACAGCTGAAACTCTCTCTATTTCAGAAGAAAAAGCCTTATCTGTTTTGTGGCCACGGAGCTCACAGGAATTACCACACACTCATTCTGCTAAGGATCTCTATAATGACCTATCCAGATTAAAAAAACGTGAGGTGGATTTAGACCTCCACGGAGTTTTCTTATCTGATTATTATAGGTCTAAGCGGATTCCAAGGGGCTTTCGCATAAGGAATGCTCCAACGATTGGGAGACAGAATCCTGATTTCTGCAGGAAGTGGATGAATATTTCGAATAAATGCTCTCTGGACTGGATGGTGATTGTTATTGAGGAAGTGGGAAGAGAATTAATCCAAGTTAAGAAATCCATTCAAGATTTTGAACTTACTCATGTGACAGTGTTACAAGCTACTCCATCCACTGAATTCATGTTAAAGTTACAGAATGATATACAGAAATATCAGAATGATTTGATTAGGTTTAAGAGATTAAAGGTTGAAAAAGTTAACCATGATTACAAATATCATCAAGTATATCGTTGGTTAAGTGGATCGGATACCCAGACATGTAATCCCACTCCAAGAATTAGAACGCAAATTAGAAAGCCATCATTGCAAACAGTATATATTAGTTCAGGAGAATAAGCATCCGAAGGTGATAACAGAGATGATCAAACATCAAAGAAACAGGTTACTTTTTTAAAGGGAGGTCAACATATGAACGATCCCCCACGGATGACCAACATCACTACAACAGACGGACGAGACATAGGAGACACATCAGACGTGGACAAACGAATTACAAGAAATACAGGCAACATAGGAAAACCTCCCAGGCAACGGAGGTAATTCCTATCTTTAATTTATCTGGAAAGCTTTTGGATCATAACCATGTGTCGCTGTTACAAAAAGGTCTCACTTTTATACCGGTGGCTAAACCTAAGAAATTTGAAATGGCTATTGACTTATACAAATTACAAAGAACACTATATAGCAACGAAATAAGGAAGGAAGAAACTCTCAGCACAATGCACATGTTCCCTAATCGGATAAAAAAGGATATTTATACACCCAATCCGTCGATAAAAATATTTATGCAAATGCTCCGCCATGATGTCCATTCAATGCTGTCTGCAATACCTCTTCATAGGGATAATTTGTCGAAAGAGGAACATATTGCTTTAAAGGATTTGATGCAAGATCCTACCATCATGATTAGACCAGCGGATAAGGGTGGCGCAGTCGTTATACAAACATATGTGGATTACAGGAATGAAATTATGCGTCAGTTGAATGATGAATCAACATACCGGAGACTTACATTTGATCCCGTCAGCAAGTTTCAAAAAAGGATTGAACAACTTATTGAATTGGGACTGTCACATCGGTACTTAGATGAGAATACTGCTAAGTTCCTATATGTAAAATATCCAAAACATCCTGTTTTATACACTCTACCAAAAGTGCACAAGAGTCTTGAACATCCGCCGGGTCGGCCAATAGTGTCCGCAAAGGAGGGTTTATTAGAACCAATTGCACAATTTATTGACTATCACATAGAAACATAGAAACATAGAAACATAGAATGTGACGGCAGATAAGAACCATTCGGCCCATCTAGTCTGCCCAATTTTCTAAATACTTTCATTAGTCCCTGGCCTTATCTTATAGTTAGGATAGCCTTATGCCTATCCCACGCATGCTTAAACTCCTTTACTGTGTTAACCTCTACCACTTCAGCTGGAAGGCTATTCCATGCATCCACTACCCTCTCAGTAAAGTAATACTTCCTGATATTATTTTTAAACCTTTGTCCCTCTAATTTAAGACTATGTCCTCTTGTTGTGGTAGTTTTTCTTCTTTTAAATATAGTCTCCTCCTTTACTGTGTTGATTCCCTTTATATATTTAAATGTTTCTATCATATCCCCCCTGTCTCGTCTTTCCTCCAAGCTATACATGTTAAGATCCTTTAACCTTTCCTGGTAAGTTTTATCCCGCAATCCATGAACCAGTTTAGTAGCCCTTCTCTGAACTCTCTCTAAGGTATCAATATCCTTCTGAAGATACGGTCTCCAGTACTGTGTACAATACTCCAAGTGAGGTCTCACCAGTGTTCTGTACAATGGCATGAGCACTTCCCTCTTTCTACTGCTAATACCTCTCCCTATACAACCAAGCATTCTGCTAGCATTTCCTGCTGCTCTATTACATTGTCTGCCTACCTTTAAGTCATCAGAAATAATCACCCCTAAATCCCTTTCCTCATATGTTGAGGTTAGGACTCTATCAAATATTCTGTACTCTGCCCTTGGGTTTTTACGTCCAAGATGCATTATCTTGCACTTATCCACATTAAATGTCAGTTGCCACAATTCTGACCATTTTTCTAGTTTAGCTAAATCATTTGTCATTTGGCTTATCCCTCCTGGAACATCAACCCTGTTACAGATCTTAGTATCATCAGCAAAAAGACATACCTTACCATCAAGACCTTCTGCAATATCACTAATAAAAATATTAAAGAGAATGGGTCCAAGTACAGATCCCTGAGGTACCCCACTGGTGACAAGTCCAAGCTTCGAATATATTCCATTAACTACAACCCTCTGTTGCCTGTCACTCAGCCACTGCCTTACCCATTCAACAATATTGGAATCCAAACTTAAAGATTGCATTTTATTGATAAGCCTTCTATGTGCAACAGTGTCAAAAGCCTTACTGAAATCTAGGTAAGCAATGTCTACTGCACCACCCTGATCTATAATTTTAGTTACCCAATCAAAAAAATCAATAAGATTAGTTTGGCATGATCTCCCTGAAGTAAACCCATGTTGTCTCTGATCTTGAAATCCATGTGTTTTTAGATGTTCATCAATCCTATCCTTTAACATGGTTTCCATCACTTTCCCCACTACTGAAGTAAGGCTTACTGGCCTATAGTTGCCCGACTCCTCCCTATTACCTTTCTTGTAAATGGGCACAACATTCGCTAACTTCCAATCTTCTGGGACTACTCCTGTTAACAATGATTGGTTAAATAAATCTGTTAATGGTTTTGCTAGTACACCACTAAGCTCTTTTAATAGCTTTGGGTGTATTCCATCAGGTCCCATTGACTTATTTGTCTTTACTTTTGACAGTTGAAATAGAACCTCTTCCTCTGTAAACTCACGTGTAATAAGTGACTCATTTATCCTTTTCTCAACTGAGGTCCCTTTCCTTCATTTTCATCTGTAAATACAGAACAAAAATATTCATTGAGGCAGTCAGCTAGACCTTTATCCTCTTCTACATACCTTCCTTCTTTTGTTTTTAATCTAACTAATCCTTGTTTTACTTTTCTTTTCTCATTTATGTATCTAAAAAATGTTTTATCCCCCTTTTTTACTGACTGTGCTATTTTCTCTTCTGTGTGTGATTTGGAAGCTCTTATAACTTGCTTAGCCTCTTTCTGCCTAATCTTATAGATCATTTTGTCTTCCTCACTCTGGGTTTTTTTTATAATTCCTAAATGCTAACTTTTTGTTTTTAACTATTTTGGCCACATCTGCGGAGTACCACAGTGGTTTCTTGAATTTTTTGCTTTTACTGACAAGCCTAATGCAATTTTCTGTTGCCTTCAATAGTGCAACTTTTAAATAATCCCATTTTTCTTGGACTCCATTTAAATTGCTCCAGTCTGATAATGACTCCTCTACCCATATTCTAATTTTAGAAAAGTCTGTTTTTCTAAAGTCTAAAACTTTTGTTTTTGTGTGGTGTGACTCAGTCACTGTTCTTATATTAAACCACACTGACTGATGATCACTGGATCCTAAACTTTCACCTACAGTAACATCTGATACCAAATCTCCATTTGTTAACACTAAATCTAGTATGGCCTCTTTACGAGTTGGCTCCTCAACAACTTGTTTTAGAGACAATCCCAGTAGGGAGTTTAGAATATGTGTGCTCCTGGCACAAGTAGCTAATTTTGTTTTCCAATTTACATCAGGAAGATTAAAGTCACCCATGATGATAACTTCCCCCTTCATTGTCATTTTAGCTATTTCCTCAACTAGTAGATTATCTAACTCTTCAATTTGTCCTGGGGGCCTATAAATCACACCTACACGAGTTACTGTGTGATTACCAAATTCTAACGTAGCCCAAACGGACTCTATGTTTGCCTCACTAACTTTTATTAGGCTAGATTTTATGCTATCCTTCACATACAAGGCCACCCCTCCCCCTTTCTTGCCTTCCCTATCTTTCCTATATAAAGAGTACCCTGGTATTGCTATGTCCCAGTCATTTTTCTCATTGTACCATGTCTCAGTAACAGCGACTAAATCTACACTATCAGTTGCCATTATTGCCACAAGTTCATGGATCTTATTCCCTAAACTGCGAGCATTTGTAGACATGACTCTAAGCTTATCATTTTTTAACACACTTGCTACAGGCACCTTCTGTCCTTGTTTTGGGGGACAATTGGATTGATGTTTTATCACCCTTTTGCCCCCCCCTCCTAGTTTAAATACATCCTAGCAAAACCTCTGAACTGCTCACTGAGAACATTTGTTCCCTTTTGAGAAAGATGCAAACCATCTTTTTTGTACAGCTTATTCCATTCCAAACAGAGCTACCATGAGAAATAAAGCCAAATCCTTGCTCCCGACACCATTCACCAAGCTACAAATTAAAGTCCCTAATACGCATCCGCCTGTCGTTCTGAGTGTTATGTACAGGCAGAACTTCAGAGAATGACAGTGTGGAAGCAACCTGCCGTATAGCATTGGCAAAAACACTAAAAACTTCCTTAACCTCTGAAACCTCATTGCAAGCCAAGTCATTTGTCCCTAGATGGACAAGTACATCCAATTCCCCTTCCTGCTTTGCTTGCTTAACAATATTACAGATACGTCTCCTGTCTCTGTGAGCAGTAGCTCCGGGAAGACACCTCACAAGGCCACCATTGTCCATCTCCACACCTCTTATAATGGAATCCCCCAACAACAACTGCTTTCTATTAGGCCTCACCATAGTCTCCAAGCCGGTCTCCACAACACCACTAGCCTCAGTGCCTCTCTCCACAACACCACTAGCCTCAGTGCCTCTCTCCACAACACCACTAGCCAATACAAGTGTCAGAAAGCTCCCTACTTGCCTCAGGGACACGCAACATTTTATTGATCAAATAAGAACTATCACTTTCACCGACAAAGAGATCATTTTGGCTACATTAGATGTTCAAAGCCTGTACACAATAATACCCTATAAGGAGGGAACTGAAGCTATATCTGAGATATTACTTAATGATGAAATGTACAAAGGTCCACATATTCCCTTCCTTATTGAGTTATTGAATGTAGCATTAACATGCAATTATTTCAAATTTGAGGATCAATTCTTTCTACAAATCTCCGGGACTGCGATGGGGGCAGCCATGGCACCAGCTTATGCCAATGGTTTTATGCACTGGTTTGAAAACAAGTACATCTTATCTAAGTATCAACAACATATCATCAAGTACCTCAGATATGTGGATGACATCTTCGTCATTTGGCAGGAATCATTGGCTTCACTGGAAGAGATGATCCAATATATCAATACCTTACCACTGCCAGTGGTATTAACTTTAAATTGGCATAAGACCAGTATTGAATTCTTGGATGTCACCGTATTTAGAGAGGGGAACCATTTAGGCTACACCTTGTTCCGGAAAACTACGGATCGCAACACTCTATTATCGGCTACTAGCTTCCATCCTCAGCATGTTAAAGATTCTTTGCCCATCTCACAATTCCTTCGGGTTTTAAGATATAATAGCAACGTGACAAAACGGGAAGAACAATTACAGGAAAT